GAGATAAGTGTGTCTAATCTCCCCGTTCTCTCACACACAGGAGATAAGTGTGTCTAATCTCCTCGATCTCTCACACACAGGAGTTAAGTGTGTCTAATCTCCTCGTTCTCTCACACACAGGAGTTAGGTGTGTCTAATCTCCTCGATCTCTAACACACAGGAGGTAGGTGTGTCTAATCTCCTCGTTCTCTCACACACAGGAGGTCGGTGTGTCTAATCTCCTCGTTCCCTTGCAACGTCCAAACCACAGGTACACATTCAGACTAGTTACAAAGAACAGGACAATTTTGGACATAACACATCCTTTTGGTTTAATAAAAATGTATGAAGCGATGTATATCGAGTTAAATATCCTTAATACAAGACAACAGACATCCTTGCATGGTACCCAAAACAAGTTACACAGTGACAAGAGCAGGGTAGCTCACCAATGGGTTGTGGTCCTACCTATGATATGTCTGATATTTTGTAATTCTGATATATTGCAAAATGGAACATAAGACCTCACTCACTCACTCACTCACTCACTCACTCACTCACTCACTCACTCACTCACTCACTCACTCACTCACTCACTCAACCCGATATATCTATTCAATTATCTTTCCCAGATTGATCTGCAGCGAGGTATCTACCATGTATTTCTGTCGGACTGGTTGAACGTGTTTCCCAGAGAGCAGCTCTACGTCCTAAAGTTTGAGGAATATTCTAGGAAAGTTTCACACTATCTTGCAGAACTTTTCAAATTCCTTAATATAAGTGAGTTACCCCTTTTGAACATGCTTCTTCTTCTTCACTGATTGCAGTCTCCCCGGAACATCAATAATCAGAATGTCATTAATATTTATATAATTATCATATTCACGCAACGAGATAACCATTACCATTGTACGATTGGATTCCTCGAAGAAAGACGTTTGTGGGTGTTTCAAGACAGAAAGCCAGGCAAAAAATATTTTCAGAATATACCATGCACAAAAACCTTTTGTGAAGGAAAAACTATGTTTTACCACAACGATAACTTTGAAAGCTTTCAAAGAATCGTTTGATCACCTACGATCAATTATTTCTTTCAGGAACATTATCGAAAGCAGAACTGAAGTCCATCGTTGATCTGAAGATTAAAAATCCAAGGCGTTTTGGCCAAGACGTCGGGGACATGATGAACGAGACTCGTCAGCTACTTGATGACTTTTACAGACCACACAACGAGAAACTGTCCTTATTGATGGGACGCACAAACTTTAATTGGTGAGACGTTTACCAAGTACATAAACCTCATGCTGTGAAACTTCAGATGCAAATGAAAACCACGAACTGTTATTGGTCCGAGATGACGTTGTGTATCTCCTGTAAATTACATGTGGAGTTTTAGCACCTTCCTTGAAAAGAAGCATTCCTTCGTGTACCACCCAATGGAGCTTATTGAAATAAAATGAATCATCTTCAAAAATGTGTTTCTGTATTTAAATTTACAGACCACACAATCAGAAACTGTCCGTGATAATGGAACGCACAAACTTTAATTGGTGAGATTAACCAGTATCTTTACTCTTTTTTGTATTATTTAATTTCTTTTTGGAGTACACAAACAATATGTTTACAGAATTTGGTTCACATGCAATGTTAAAAACATACAAGTTACAAAGTATATCTATAGATGATAACAAACAAAAACTATTCCAGTGTCATATTGTTGGATTGTGCAAGTTCGTGGTTTTAATAGGTGGTGACAGAGAGAACAAAATGGCATGAACTGTGTGTATTTACATTGTGAATATGATATATTTCTGTCGATGTAATATGAATCGGTTATTTCTTGTTTAATGTCTGGGAAATCTGGTATGGAGTCGGAAACGTTTAATTTGAAAATGTTTTGCTTTGTTACAGTTAGAATATGATTTAATACATTATTTCGTTTTTCTTGATATCCTAATAAAATTGTCATTTTTTAAAATCTTTGTTCTATTCCAGTTTTGTCTTTGATCCATTTTGTAAGGTTGTTCCAAATAGGTTTTACAATTTTGCACTCAAAGAACATGTGCACTAAGGTTAGTTTTTCTCGTTCACAAAAATTGCAAAGAAATGATTCTTTATATCCCATTTTGTAGAGTAACTCGTTTGTTGGTATAATTCTATGAAAAATGCTGTATTGGAACCATTTTTGTTTTGAGGACACATTATATCTGTGGGTTAACTCTTATTGGTCAGAGATGACATTGTGTATCTCAACAATAAACAAATAATCTTCATTTATGTCTCGTTTTGTATTCAACCTTAAGCCTGCTGAATTGTTTTAGCATAAGGCGCTGTAAAGAGGTTGGACGATTTCAAACAGTCGGTGCTTCATAAAACATGGCCTTTTGAAGAAATATGTGGCATATTTATTCCTGATCGAAAACTACAAATTACTATTTACAAACTACAAATTTAAATGGTTAAATTTGTCAAATTGATTTCAATAACCCTATCTACGATATCTTAATTTTAACTGAGTATAAATTCGATGATTTATATTGGTAAAGAACAGCGCGATGGTAAATTATGAACCATTTCAGTAAATATATGATCCAAACGTGAAACAGAAAAAAACTCAATTTTCGAGGTCATCATGTCAATTTCAGTTTTCGTTGTGTTCATTGATATTCCTGCATTCTGATTAGCTTAATTGGTCACGTGTTATTGCATTCATTTCCCAATGAATGTAAAACATTAAGCCACGCCCACCGAGGCGGACTACTTTCGTTACTACGGAATGTCGGGGAATCCCAAAATTACATTCGAGGGAATTCCCTTTCTGCTTCAGAGTATCGATAGTCATGCACAGGACATTTAGCGAAATTCATGCATATTCATTGTCCAAACAACCCTTTTAGACCGAAGGAATGAAACAGCAAACGTGCAGGCTCGCTCGCCTGTTATTTCCCGCACGCCTCGGTTCCACAACTTTCATGTCTTCGGGTTTCATTTCTAACTAGAGATCCAGCATTTTTCCAACAGTGTCTTCCCGTTGTCAGGGAACTAATGTTTGAATCTGGCGGTAACTGACCATGTCATTTGTAACAGCCGCCTTCTCCCGGTTCGTTACAGTCTGACTTTTGTACTTCTCGCCTCTTGCCTTGATTGGCAGATCCTATGAAATTGTTTTGTTCCTGCTCTCCGTTGATTGGCTACTTACTTTGTAGGCGTGTCAATTTATGTGCATAAATTAAACAATCACCTGATTCATGTCACGCCACAGTATGTATTCCTACACCTGGAATGTTTATCAACGTCGTCATTTTTGTCGGCTTTGATATATACACCTGTTCTTTGTTAAACTATTATCCATAAAACATGTTTTCGTTGTCGAATTTAATTATAAGCATTGACTCTTTGCGCGGATTCATACAGTTTGCACATCGGTTTTTCGATTCATACCTCAATGAACCGAAAAAAATACACAGTCAATCCTTAAATATATACACTCACCGATCCTAAATTCAAGTGTTTAGTTGAATATTTACAATATACGAAAACACAATTACCATGGCATAATGCTTCCAGACGTTCAAAAATCAAACATGGCGCGCTTCGCCCGACCTCGCCATAACTAACGGCTTTTTTAATATCGATGCAATTTCGTGAGATTATTTGAGTTTCTTTTGGGGTTTATCTTTGACTTCAGAGCTAGACCACAAACTGGGTTTCTCCCATCATTTGTGGAAAGAACACATGTGTCTATCTACCATCACCTGTAGAGAAAGACTGTAGCATGTGTGTGTCAACCACCACCTGTAGAGAAAGACTGAAGCATGTGTGTGTCTACCATCAACTGTAGAAAAAGACTGTAGCATCTGTGTATCTACCATCACCTGTAGAGAAAGACTGTAGCATGTGTATCTATCATCACCTGTAGAGAAAGCCTGTAGCATGTGTATATCTACCATCACCTGTAGAGAAAGCATGTAGCATGTGTGTATCTACCATCACCTGTAGAGAAAGACTGTAGCATCTGTATCTACCATCATCTGTAGAGAAAGCCTGTAGCATGTGTGTATCTACCATCACCTGTAGAGAAAGACTGTAGCATGTGTGTATCTACCATCACCTAGTGAGAAAGACTGTAGCATGTGTATCTACCATCACCTGTAGAGAAAGCCTGTAGCATGTGTGTATCTACCATCACCTGTAGAGAAAGACTGTAGCATGTGTGTGTCTACCACCACCTGTAGAGAAAGCCTGTAGCATGTTTGTGTCTACCACCACCTGTAGAGAAAGACTGTAGCATGTTTGTGTCTACCACCACCTGTAGAGAAAGACTGTAGCATGTGTGTGTCTACCATCACATGTAGAGAAAGACTTTAACATGTGTGTATCTACCACAAACACACACACACAGCACCACCACCACCAAACACCACACACACACACCACTCACACACTCACACACACACCACACACCACCACCACACATACATACACATACCACACACATACACACCACACATACACACCACAACCAAACATACACACACCACCACACACACTCCACACACACATCACCACACCACACCACACAACACACACACCACACCACACCACACCACACCACACACACAACCACCACGCGCGCACACACACACACACACACACACACACACACACACACACACACACACACACACACACACACACACACACACACACACACACACACACACACACACACACACTCACAAACACACACTCACAAACACACACTCACAAACACACACGTTAAATCCCACATAACATTTGGTAAAAGCAGAAGCAAATCTATGCACGTAAATCGATAATGTAAGGGACGATGCTGTTATAAAGGCCTGTAGCTCTTCTTGGAGCTGTATATGTGTAATAATTTTGAACGCGACCTAGAACCCCATTTCACCTCATTTCACCTGCTGCAATTAGTCAAGCAAGGGACGAGTCATTATCATATGAATGCATAACATTAAAGTTTATAACAAGGAACAAACCAACAAATTAATATGTGCCTTTATTGTGCATAATGTTGAACAACTGAAACATGCTGGTGCAATTGAGAATGCTCCTATTTTGGTTAATACTGGACATGTGGTCGAGGACTGGAGGAGAATGAACTAGCTGTGTATATCTACTAAAGCATCATTCAACATTCACACTCCTTCAAGTGCAGTAGTAAGTTATCTACACACTGTCAATCACATGAGGTCCTCGCCTGTCAACGTTGTCACACTGACGGACGTGTAGTTACTGGAACCATATTTATTCGCAGCATTTAGCCGAATGTCGTACATTGTTGCCGGTTTTAGACCATCCAGCTTCAGTAGAAGGGCGTGGTCCTCCCTGGGCATGGGTGGGTGGGTGATCCATTGACCGTCAGGTTGTCTGTATTCTATG